GACGCTCATAGTCAGCCCACGCTCCCCACACACCTGGCCGGGACGCCCATGGTCAGCCCACGCTCCCCACACACCTGGCCGGGGCGCCCATGGTCAGCCCACGCTCCCACACACACTGGCCGGGACGCCCATGGTCAGCCCACGCTCCCCACACACCTGGCCGGGACGCCCATGGTCAGCCCACGCTCCCCACACACCTGGCCGGGACGCCCATGGTCAGCCCACGCTCCCCACACACCTGGCGGGACGCCCATGGTCAGCCCACGCTCCCCACACACCTGGCCGGACGCCCATGGTCAGCCCACGCTCCCCACACACCTGCCGGACGCCCATGGTCAGCCACGCTCCCCACACACCTGGCCGGGACGCCCCTGGTCAGCCACGCTCCCCACACACCTGGCCGGGACGCCCATGGTCAGCCCACGCTCCCCACACACCTAGCCGGGGCGCCCATGGTCAGCTCACGCTCCCCACACACCTGGCCGGGACGCCCATGGTCAGCCCACGCTCCCCACACACCTGGCCGGGACGCCCCATGGTCAGCCCACGCTCCCCACACACCTGGCCGGGACGCCCATGGTCAGCCCACGCTGCCCCACACACCTGCCCGGACGCCCATGGTCAGCCCACGCTACCCCACACACCTGGCCGGGACGCTCATAGTCAGCCACGCTCCCCACACACCTGGCCGGGACGCCCATGGTCAGCCCACGCTCCCCACACACCTGGCCGGGCGCCCATTGGGCAGCCCACGCTCCCCACACACCTGCCGGGACGCCCATGGTCAGCTCACGCTCCCCACACACCTGGCCGGACGCCCCTGGTCAGCCCACGCTCCCCACACACCCGGCCGGGACGCCCATGGTCAGCCCACGCTCCCCACACACCTGGCCCGGACGCCCATGGTCAGCCCACGCTCCCCACACACCTGGCCGGGACGCCCATGTCAGCCCACGCTCCCCACACACCTGGCCGGGGCGCCCATGGTCAGCTCACGCTCCCCACACACCTGGCCGGGACGCCCATGGTCAGCCCACGCTCCCCACACACCTGGCCGGGACGCCCATGGTCCAGCCCACGCTCCCACACACCTGGCCGGGACGCCCATGGTCAGCCCACGCTCCACACACACCTGGCGGGGACGCCCATGGTCAGCCCACGCTCCCCACACACCTAGCCGGGGCGCCCATGGTCAGCCCACGCTCCCCACACACCTGGCCGGGACGCCCATGGTCAGCCCACGCTCCCCACACACCTGGCCGGGACGCCCATGGTCAGCCCACGCTCCCCACACACCTGGCCGGGATGCCCATGGTCAGCCCACGCTCCCCACACACCTGGCCGGGACGCCCATGGTCAGCCCACGCTCCCCACACACCTGGCCGGGACGCCCATGGTCAGCCCACGCTCCCCACACACCTGGCCGGGACGCCCATGGTCAGCCCACGCTCCCCACACCACCTGGCCGGGACGCCCATGGTCAGCCCACGCTCCCCACACACACCTGGCCGGGACGCCCATGGTCAGCCACGCTCCCCACACACCTGGCCGGGACGCCCATGGTCAGCCCACGCTCCCCACACACCTGGCCGGGACGCCCATGGTCAGCTCACGCTCCCCACACACCTGGCCGGGACGCCCATGATCAGCCCACGCTCCCCACACACCTGGCCGGGACGCCCATGGTCAGCCCACGCTCCCCACACACCTGGCCGGGACGCCCATGGTCAGCCCACGCTCCCCACACACCTGGCCGGGACGCCCATGGTCAGCCCACGCTCCCCACACACCTGGCCGGGACGCCCATGGTCAGCCCACGCTCCCCACACACCTGGCCGGGACGCCCATGGTCAGCCCACGCTCCCCACACACCTGGCCGGGACGCCCATGGTCAGCCCACGCTCCCCACACACCTGGCCGGGACGCCCATGGTCAGCCCACGCTCCCCACACACCTGGCCGGGACGCCCATGGTCAGCCCACGCTCCCCACACACCTGGCCGGGACGCCCATGGTCAGCCCACGCTCCCCACACACCTGGCCGGGACGCCCATGGTCAGCCCACGCTCCCCACACACCTGGCCGGGACGCCCATGGTCAGCCCAAACTCCCCACACACCTGGCCGGGACGCCCATGGTCAGCCCACGCTCCCCACACACCTGGCCGGGACGCCCATGGTCAGCCCACTCTCCCCACACACCTGGCCGGGACGCCCATGGTCAGCCCAAACTCCCCACACACCTGGCTCTGTTAATCAAAAAAAAAACTATGGCTGTAATTAGTGGTTGACCCTTGTGGTATACCGGTGATATGGTTTACCTGTCAACAAGTCAACGCACTAGTGAAACCTCAACATTTACAGTAAACCGGAAGACTGGAAGCAAACCTACGTTGCAGGTGGTGTGCAACCTCGCTATGCAGAACACACGCTACACATCTTGCTTTCACTATCACATCTATGAAACATACCAGAACTTTACTTTCTTCGAGTGCCTTGTTAAATGGAACTGAAATAATTAAATAACAGCACCTTCGCCAAGTATTTTCATCGTATCGCCTTCAATTGCATTAAAGTCTCCCGCCCACACTCAGACAATTTACGATTTCTAAAATTTAAATCTGGAAATACATTATCTTCATCAGTTAAAGTGAAAAAGATATGTCAGCCTTCACCCTACAATTTGTCATTCCAGTAAACAAAGTTACGAGAATATTGTAAGCAACTGTTCATCAACCACAACTCCAAACTAAACACTAAGAACATAGATTACGAATCATTTACCACAAGTGAGCCTGGCATACCATGGAATTAGTGTCGCCCCATATAAACCCCACCATCAGTAACGTAAAACTATGCACGAAACAACGAAAGGCATATACACACACTACCTCTTGACAGCTACATGATACTTCATTCAACTGAAGGAGATTTATCCGTACGTCTACCCACTCACTGGTCAATGTGACATCTGTGGCTCACTCCAGACTGCTACTCACCCCACTCTTCCTCCCCCATGACTTCCCATTTTTTCCTCAGACCATTCCATAGAAAACGTTAATCAGCTGTTGTCATTGTGCATTATCTTCCCTAATTCTGGGTTTCGAACAGCAAAAATACTCATTTAAAGACAGCTTAATATATAGGTAACTTTAATAGTAAGACATCGTTCTTCATCGTTTCCTTCAATAACGCCTGCTTCTCTATGCAACCTAAACTTATCTAGTTTTATGGATATTATCACCTTACTGACATGTGTATAAAAAAATTCAAACAATATTGTGATTGAAACAACGTGAAGAAGGAATAACAGCCACCGGCTGACCAGATTACTATATCATTTGTGCGTATTAGGATAAGTCGCTTCATGTCAGAAGTTACTTGAGGTGCGAGAAGCACCCAGACTTGTCTTATAGATTTTTTCATCAGATAGGGGCAAAATAATGCTGTGTTCACTAATAATAATGTTGCATTTGATACTGGAAATGGAGAGTTGATCCTTGAATAATTGACCAACTTTGAGTTTAGCGTATTTTAGGGTCACTGACTTTTTTGAGTTATCCTAGGTTCTCTACACATATGCTGCTATGTATGATAATGCTATGTAACTGTATTTGTGTATACCTGAATAATTTACTTACTTATACCCAGATCGAACCCTGTGTGAGTTGGGCTATATGGGCAAGTTTCCTAACATCTGCCTCTGATGTTAGTAGATACTTAAAGGTTAGTCTGCTATCGTGGGTTGCATCCTGGGAGAGCATACAAAAGAACCCGAGTAGAAATAATCACAGTGCTTGGCTTACTCATCTTGCTAGTGGTAGCACACACAGACAAAAAAAAAATTACAGAGGTCACAGTGGGTTTTTGCCAGACCCCATTGGGCATAGTTATATCCTTAAAATTATTACAGTCATTTCATATATTATAATTTCTTCACAATACACAAAAATCATTACCACTGTAACTTGTTCAGCTATCAAATCTCTTGACTACCACCCACGGGATGGGTATGGGGTACATAATACAGATGTTAAACTTTAAATTTACAACTCAAGGAACGGGTGGGACTTGAACCCATGGCAAGTGAGTCCTAAAAATCACAGGCCAGTGCGTTAACGCACTCCATGCTCATCCTGTGAGTGGTAGCGCAAAAAAAACAGGATTACAGAAGTCACAATGGTCTTTGTCACAGAGCGTTGTTACATCATTGGAAAGGAATATTAGTCATTTCGTATTTTACAATTACTTCGTATAGTTGTTGGACATAATACATTAAGGAATGCAATCTCAAAATAATAAATTCTTGTTACCACTGAAATGATAAAAAAAAAAATGGTCATAGCTGGGTTGCAATCTCTTTAAGTCGATGTAAAATATGGATACTACATCAAGATTTTAGATATCATAAACAATGAGGTGTTTTGACAAGGACCCCAATGGAAATAAGTTACTTTGACTTTGTTGGGGTTACTCTATGTAATTTACGCATGTTACTAGACATGATGATTGTACTTAAGTGTACCTGTACCTGTATCCCAATGGAAGTCACTCTGACTTTTTTGGGATATCCTGGGTAGGTTAGGTTAGGTAATGGTTGTCAGGAAACAGGAGCTTTTGGTCATCTTACTGAGGCCTTCCGCTGGCTTACCAGCCCACCACTTACATAATAGCATATGTGTAAAGTACCTAGGATAACCCAAAAAAGTCAGACAGTGACTTATTTCTATTGTCTCACTCTAAGCAGACGGAGGATCAAACCTTCAGCACGTCTTGAGCTGAATAACCCACATGGGTTATTGATGGTGTTATTAATCTTGGGATAATCTTCCCGTTCTCTGGTGTAGTGAACATAGAAGACGTGGGTGAGGTGTGTGCTGCTGGCCAAACATTGTTATCCCGGGAGAGGAAGGTACACACCACCACACTCAGGTCTGATACTCTTACATTTCACACACATTATGAAGGTTAAGTAGTATATGGTGTGTGTGTGACTACCTGTCACTGCGTTGCAGTGTTGTCACAGATAGTATTTAAGGCGTGTCACCTCCTGAAGGAGGTAATGTTAGTGAAGAAGTGTGAAGAGCCGGGTGCTGCAGTTGCTGCTGTGTGTAATATCTATTTCTGTTGCTCGTGCACCATATCGAAACATTAATGTTTTTTTTAGTATGTGATGTCAGCAGGATAGCCTACTTCTGGCACATTCTGTGTAACTAATTAATTAACTTCTTATTAAATGGTAACTTAGCTCTTTCCCATGATTATAAGAATATCTTGAAATGAATGCAGGTGAGAGTTTAAGATAGCAACAGTTACGCAAGTGTGACTACTACATTGTACTTGTACTTCTGGATCTCCATTTTATCTTCCCTATAAGAATGGGAACAGTGAGAGCCTTGATGTTAGTGAAGGGCACCTGATCCCAGGAATAGTAAATTTACCCTTTTCTTGGACAAAACCTATGCTAATGGGAATAAGTCACTGGCTTTTTTTTTAGGTTATCCTACGTAATTACACATGCTACTGTGTATGATAATTTATGTAACTGCACCTTACCTGAATAAACTTACCCCTACCCCACCCATTTCCTACAGGTTTAACATTTCCTTAGGACTATAATAGAATATAGTAGTAACCCCTTCGGGGTTAAAAATCCGAACAAAATTTTATTCTCTCATGGTTGCAATGCCATTCAAGAGAATATACCCCATCTTCTATCACCCCCAGCCATCATACATTTTAAAATAGCTTACTCTGCAACAATACCACCAATTTTTTTTAATTGGTGGTCAGAATTGAGTTTAGTTGCTTAAATAATAGAGATTTTATTTCTTTACAAAGGTTACAATGTGTAATTACAATTTTGATTTGTTAAGTACAGAGAAAGCCACTGTCATGCCGGGGCAATGTCTAGACAAAATAAGTGGTTAAACCTTTTAATAAATCTTTATTTTATCTTACTAATGCGAGGTAGTCAAGGTGGAGGTTGGGTTATCCTAGGTTCTCAACACATGCTGCTATGTATACCTGAATAAACTTAAGAATAATAATCTTGAACTTGCACATAATAAAAATAGTATTACAATTAATAGTTCAAACAGTAATATTTTATGGATTGGCAGATGTTTTAATAGACTAGAGGTCATGTATAATATAATATTTGGGAGAGTTGCTTTAAACTGATTACAAGTTGTTTTGGTTGGTTTGGTTAGTATTGAGAGATGAGGATTTTTAAGCATAGCCCAAAATTTGAATGTAGTCAGGAGATCCTTAACCGGTTCAGGTAGTGAATTCCAGATCTTCGAGCCCTTTATGTGCATTTATGTATTTTGCATGTGGTGGACTGACAAGCTTGTCACACGATGAGGCCTCGTCCCTGGTATTCGATCTCGCAGGTAAACATTACTTTTTTCCAGTTGTTATAAATCCAATAGTAAAATGGTACCTGGTTATCATGTGTGGGTCGCATCCTGGACACTGACCTAATTTTCCGAATTGTACCGAAATCGAGCATAAAAACTTTGGAGGCTTCATCGCTTGACCATGGACTTGTACCTTGTAATGTACTTTGTAAACTTAAAGATATTTATTATGATTACTTATTATGTACTGAAAGTTGTCTGCTAAACGCTTGTGCCCTGTATAGTCCTGGTCACCATAATTTCTTTAATCTTTTGACTACACCACAGGGGGAAATAAGGTCCTATTACATATAATTAACTTGTAATGTAAGTCTTCACTGGTATCTTGTTCTGTTATCAAACTTTGGGGAGTAGTTGGACACCATTAATGTAACTTGTAATCTGTAATATTTAGTAACTTTCAGTTTGAAAAGTCTACTGGGTTGCATTCCTTGACAGGTAGCCTGGCTATATAACTTGGCCACAGTTTGTGACCATTGTTACCTGTAATTGTTGATACCCCACAAATTATAGGTGCAAGATAAATTATTAAACTAACTCTTGAGTTTACTGACAATTTAATGTGGATATACCAGTTATTATATGTTTGTTGGAACATAATGAATATGTCTCGTATATTTAGTAGGTTCAGGCTTTTGAAAAGTTGTTGGGTGTGCTGTCTGGCACAGGAGCTGGTAATCATTGCACAGCAACTTTTTGTTGGGTTATTAAAGGTTTAAGGTGGTTGATTCCCAGGCACAAATACCATAGGTGAGGTAAGGATAAATTAACTCAACCATGTCCTTGTTTATTATACAAGCAAGATAGCTAAAACCAGGCTATAATTATTTATTGCTCAAATTCTTATAATAGAAGATGTTAGCCACATGAGTACTTTTTGCAAGAGGAAGATTGTATGCAGTTCAGTGTGTGCCGACCCAATCAATGTTAGCATTCAGGTGTATTACAAATGTTTGCATTGTGTAATTTGTGTGAATTTACGTTTTATAACAATTTGCAAACTGAACGAAACAAGCATTTTCACCATCCCATAGTAATTCCTGCATCAATAATGAGAGTACCCCCATAGAATATTTATCTGTTAGGTAAGGCTATATTTAGGTTTGGTTTGGTTAGGTTAATTTAGGTTAGGTTGGGTTCAGTTGGATTGTGTTACTTTTTTGATTGAATTTGGTTAGACCCAAACCTTGCATTCTATTGTATGCCCTCTGCAGTAATACTGATATATAGAATAATATTTGTAGGTGTATTGAAATGTATGTACAGTAATTATCACTACAAATATTAGTGTTTTACAGAAAATCCAAAAATGTCAGTCATTAATAAAAGTGTTTTGAGTAAATGTCAGAGATTGCAATCTTTGGCATTCTTGTAAACCGACTTAATTGTCCAGTAGTTATTAGTTAATTTTAAGGCTGAAATCCTCTGCATGACCAGGGGCTTTCTATAAAGTATGCCAGTGATGTCAAACTAGTCCTAGCTGTGTCAGTTGTATGATGTACTTTGGAGAAATATCCTCTCTAAATCTAAATTTCTCCACCTTGAATCCATTGCTCCAAGTCCTGTCTTGGTTAGATATTTCAACACTATAGATGTGTATCCCCTTTATGTATTCCTGTTTTCCACTTGTACACTTCAGTTGTATCTTTCCAAATTTTACGTCTTTTCAGAGAGTGAAAGCTCATGTGCCTTCACCCTATTTTCGTAGGAAAGGTTGCTAATACAGCCATACATGGAATCAACTTTGTCATCCTTCTCTGTATATTTTTGAGTACATTTATATCCATCATATAATAAGGAAACCATAGCTGAGCAGCATACTCTAAGTGAGGTCTAACCAAAGATATATGTATAAGGTTGAAGTATAACCTTAGGACTCCTATGGAAATAAGACACTTTGACTTTTTTGGGTTATCCAAGGTAATTTACACATGTTAAACTGTGTATGATAATTGTACTTTTGTGTATGTACCTGTACCTAAATAAACTTAATTATACATGATGATATGAAGCTAAGATTTATATTAAATTTATTGTGAACACTTACACTGTTGTTTTGGCTTTAAAGTTTACCACCCAAAACTAGACATTATTTTGCATTCACTACATTGTTTAGCTTGAAAGTACCATAGTTATTTCCTTTTCCTAACATTAGAACCTTACACTTATTTGTATTGAACTGCATGTGCCACTTCTCGAACCATAACATCAACCTATCCAGGTCATTCTGTAGCCTTCAAGTGTCCACATTAAAATATTTTTGATGACCTGTTTTAGTGTCGTGGCAAACTTGCTTATATTGCTATTTATTCCCTCATCATGTTTGTGTAGACTGAAACAACAAGGGTTCCAACATCGACCCCTGTTGCACACCACTTGTAACAGGTTCCCCTTAAGATTTCTCCCCATTGATGCATGCTATGTTGCCTATCTGTCAACTGTGCCCCAGGCCAGGAAATAATTTCTTCTATTCCATGTACTACTACTTTCTTAATCAGTCTCTTGTATGGAACTTTATCAAAAGCTTTACTGAAGTCCATGTACACAATATCATGTTCTTTATCTTGGTCTGCTGCCTTGAATACCTTGATGATGAATGTTAGTAAATTCATAAGGCAAAAATGCTGTTTTGTAAAATTGTACCGAGATTAGTTGATTAAATTATTTCTTTCAAGGTGGCTTTGAATTGCATCAATAATTATTGATTCCATCAACTTTCCCCACAATTGAGGAAAGGCTGATTGGTGTATTATTTGAAGCTAAAGGCCTATCTTCTGCTTTGTAAATGGGAATCACATTTGCCAATTTCCATTTATCCAATATAGTACCTGTTGGTAGTGATATATTGAAGAGACTAGCGAAAGGTTTGCCAAGTTTCTCCCCACATTCCTTCAGAACCCTTGAAAACAGTTCATCAGACCTGGTGACTTGTTTGGCTTCGATCTGTCTTCGTAATTGTTTGAGGACCATGCCACTAGTGACTTTGATATTGTATAATTTATTTTTGTCCTTATCAGTTTAATTATTGATTTCTGGGGCTTAATTTGTATCCTCTTGTGTAAAAACAAGAAGGAAATAAGTGTTGAAAATAGTACACATTTCTTTGTTACTAACAGTAAGCTGACATAAGTTACATTTAAGTGGATCTATCTTTTCCTTAATCTTATTCCTGTATACAGTACAGTACTGAAAGAAACTCATAGGATTGGTCTTTGATTCCCTTGCAACCTCAATTTCATATTCTCTTTTTGATTTATTCTTTTTTTAACCTCTCTCTTAAATTGAATACATATATTGTTCAGTAAGGTGACCTCTCATCTCTTATGATTCGCATGTAAATAAATTTCTTTTTGCCCAAGAGATGCTTGAGCCTATTTCTTATTCAGTTCTCTTGTATTCATTGTAACTCTTAAATTTATTTTTTCAACTGCTCAAGAGACTGTATATAAAAACACTCAATTAGTCATTGCCTTATTAATCTTAAGATGCTTTTAAGTTTGCCTAAAATGCTCTGCATGTTAAGGGGTTTTCTGCATGCACACCTAAATGTCATTCACCTCTGTAAAAACATTATATGATACTAATATAAAGAATCTTAATCTTAATCATTTAGGGTCATTTATGTTTGATCTTAATTCTCTTTTAGGAATATATGCAGCTTGGCCAGATTGTGCAGTGTTTTAGA